AGAGGTCAGGCTAGCATCTGCTTCGGCCTGAGGGGACATTCGTTCGCCGGGAGAGACCTGTTGCCGTGGTGTGTGCTGCTCACTTTTGCAACATGTGGGTGGATCTTTATCTCAGACTGACTTCGGAACAAAGAGGATCTATTACAGATAGTTAGCATGACTGACCCGCTCCAGCTCACACACACACATAAGCACATATACACGCATACACTCGGAGGAATACACAAGTTTCATTGGTCCTTGCATAACAACAATATACAGTTTTTTTTTTATTATTCTCAAACAATGACTGTTCTGTGCGCTTTGATGGTAAAGAGGAGCACAGGAACTTCAAAGCGACCCCCTGAAGCTTTTACAGACCTCTGCCAATTGTAACTGTCTGAGATTTGTGTGGGACACATGGGACTGTTAAAAACTCCCTGATTTTGGGCTCAGCTAAGTCAACAAGGGAGTTCTCAGCATCCCCGTGTGACAAATGGGGAACGCTGTAAAAAGCAAACTGTTGCGAGCCGTAAAAGGTCCACAGACGAGAGAAACGGGTAAACAGAGCCACGAAAAACACCAGGGTGAGACGAAGCTGGGGCAGGAGAGCAGCAGAGGGTGACGCCGTAGAGCTGTGTGTGAAAAGCGAAATTAACTAAAAGAGGAACAGGTAAAGAGGAGTGAGCGCAGGGGTCGGAGACAGAAGTTGCAACAGCTGACTTCACATGGGTTCTTTATTTCCCTGGAGGAGAAGTTGGTTTGTCATCACCCCCATCTGACATGGGGACAGAGGGGAGGGAGGGTTAAGGAGAAAGGAGGAGGGGGCGGAGGAGGAGGAGGAGGAGTCCTGTCCAACAGCTGCCTTCATTAACATGCGCACCTGCTCCCTGTGGAGATACTGGGAGGCCAACAGATGCCTTTCGCTGCACATAAACACTCAGTGCTCATGTGCACGACTACCCAGAGTCCCACAAACCCCAATTCAAACATAAACACCTTTTAGCTGACTCCTGCATGTGACTGATGGAGCTTTGTTGTGGAACACAAGCTGCATCTTAAACATTGCCATGGCGTTGTGCCGGTTGGCAATCAACGTTTTGGTTACAAGACTGCTATTTTTAAGTTTTAAAAATACTTGTTTGTTTTTTTTTCATTAACGTTTGTGCTTGAGACACACAGGTGTATGACATTTATTTTGAGCCACTTGTGACAGGGAATAGTAGCATTTGTGTCGTTTCCTGCTCTTTGGTTTATCAACATTGGCAATGGTACAGGCCATTTTATTAACCCACATTCAAAGAACACTGTATAGTTTCCAAAAAGCTATATATATATATATATATATACTTGTTCAGATACTTCAAAGAAAGCTAGCAGCATTGAATCAGTGTCAAAGTGTGGGTTTTTGTGTCTTTGTGTCTTTTTCGGTCATGAGCAGCCAGATAGAACCAGAACCGGAGCGGTCTCTACTCTGTTGTTGCCACAGTCGGGACAAATGCCTCCAAGGGGGCTTTAGCCTGAATGCACTTCTTCATAAAGGACTTTTCGAGTCGGTACAGTCTCCTTGATCATCACATCATACATGATTAGTGCAGACAATTATTACATGGCATCTGTTGTCCCAGCAGAGTGTCTTTTCAGGCCTTACAGAGAGTCTAATCCAGAGAGACACATTAGAAAAACATGCTGTCCCTGTCCTGCAGTAGTGGGACTTTGATGGGCGGGACGCCCCCTCCTGTTTATTATGGAACTTCTTCCCATGGTTCCACCAAGATTCTTCTCGTCTAATCACAACTGCTTCTCCTTGTCCTCCCCGTCTCTCTTTTTCCCAGGTGTCCGAGTGACTTTGTAGGGAGTCGGTGCCAGTACACAAATCCCTGCAGTCCTTCACCTTGTCGCAATGGAGGCGAATGCCGCCCGATTTCCCACGGCAACACATTTGATTTCCACTGCGTGTGTCGTCTGGGTTTCACTGACCGACTCTGCCTGACCCCAGCCAACCACGCCTGCATGAGTTCCCCCTGTCGCAACGGAGGGACTTGTGATCTCATATCTCTGAGCGTCTACCACTGCCGTTGCCCCCCCGGGTGGACAGGTAAGCTGCTGTATTCCCATTGTAATGTGCATATATTTGCTTCTATTTTTATAGCGCCTTTTAAGATACCCACGCCGCTTCTTACTTCAACTTCAATTAACAATGCTGCATTGTTTTCAAGGCAAATCCTGCCAGCTTGCCAACCCCTGTGCCTCCAACCCCTGTGCCAACGGTGGCCAGTGCTCAGCCTTCGACTCCACCTACATCTGC